ATCCAACTCTGTTAAGTGACCAACTTTTTCAGTCTATCAGAATCTAATAAATATGTGCTCTGTCACCCCAGAATTTTGGTCTCCTTGGAACCTGGGGTCTTATCCAATGCTACTCCTACATAAAATATACCCATTGAAGGCAATGGATGTGGCTGACTTAGGTTTATTGATTTCAATGCCTCCCCTGGATACAACCCCTGGTCTCCAACCAGATGCTGTGGACTTACACCGTCTCAGGATCTCTGCCCTGTCACCACATGCTCTGAAAGCCATGACTCGGCTCAAGCATCTAAAATGTAACCAGCCAATCTTGAACTAGCATTCCACGAGGCTCTGGAAATAACAGACGCACAACCAACCCACAAAATTGGAGTTGTATGGAGAGTCTCAATTTACCGTGCCTTATCAGATGTGTGTTGTTGTTGGTGATATAAAATACCCACTCAAACACAGCACATTTCTCTTGTCCATGGTGAGCCATGCGATGGTCACCTCCAGGCTTGACTACTGTAATTCACTCTACGCGGGGCTGCCCTTGAAGCTGTCCCAGAAACTCCAGCAGGTGCAGAATGCTGCAGCGAGGCTCCTCACAGGGTCTCTGCCATGGGAGCATATTCACCCAGTGCTTTTCAAACTGCACTGGCTCCCGGTGGAGTACAAGGTCAGATTTAAGGTGCTGCTTTTGACCTGTAAAGCCCTTCACGGCCTAGGACCCTCGTACCTACGGGACCACCTCTCCTGGTATGCCCCACGGAGGACCTTAAGGTCCATATATAGCAACACCCTAGAGGTCCCAGGCCCTAAGGAAGTTAGATTAGCCTCAACCAGAGCAGGGCCTTCTCAACACTGGCTCCGGCCTGGTGGAACGCTCTGTCTCTTGAGACCAGGGCCCTGCAGGATCTGATCTCTTTCTGCAGGGCCTGCAAGACAGAGTTGTTCCACCTGGCCTTTGGCTTAGAATCAGTTTAATTCCCTCCCGCTCTTTCTTTTTCCTTTCTCCTCCTATGAAGAGATTGCACCCTAATGTTTTAATGTTGTATCTTAATCTTTTAAATTGTATTTTAATTAACTTATTTTTATTATTGGTTGTTAGCCGCCCTGAGCCCGGTCTTGGCTAGGGAGGGCGGGGTATAAATAAAATTTTATTATTATTATTATTATTATTATTATTATTATTATTATTATTATTATCCGAATGAACACTTTGAATAGCAAACACTCAGAAAGCATTTCTCTGTCGTTCTTTTAATCCCCAGTGAGACTACGAAGGCGAAGGAAATGCAAGAGAGCAAGGACCCAGATGGTGAGTTGTAGGGCTTTTGTCCTACTTATCGCTCTTTCTGATGCGGCAATTATTGCATGAGGAAGATGGGAGTTGGAGTCCAACGCCCAGGGCTGTGGGTTCACTCTCCCTGTCTTATGCCCTTCTTTCGATCCCAGGACCAGAAGGATCTTCAAAGAGAAGAGAGGAAACAGAACCTGGAACGGAAGACCCCACCTACATGGAGGTAACTTCTAACTGGGTAACTTCTCCTGTTCCTGCTGAGGATAAACAGGGAGCCTGTTCCTATTGTTATAGGAGTTGGAGGTTGGTATGGGTAAAGGCTTAATAAAGACTGGACATAGGAGATCAGGGTTCAAATCCCCACTAAGTCATGAAGCTCACTGGGTGACCTTTTAAATAAATAAATAAACAAAGTAATAATAATAATATAAATAAAAATGTGCATAAAAATGAGACCATTATTTATCCTAACTATCCAACTTTCCAACCCCCCCCCCAAACCACTTCTTGAGATGGTTTGACCCCTTTCTACAAATATCTTCCCAATTTCCTCAAAGTAGTTTCTCTTCCATATTCCCCTTCGTACTTTGACAGCGCTTGTTAATTTATCATTAATCGCTGTATCTCACACTTCTTTATATACCATTCCGTGGGTGACCTTGAGCCGTTTGGGCCAAGCTCACGCTTTTGGCCTAAACTACCTCACAGGATTGTTTTGGGGATGGGAAAGATGCACGTACATGTCAATTGATATCAGAGGAAAGGTAGGATATTAAATAAATAAATGTGGAAAGTTCGGCTTGCAGGCTTCCCATTGGCACCCGGCTGACCCTTGTGGCCAAAAGGATACTGGACAAGATGGGTGTTTGGTCTGACCTAGCCAGGCTGTTCTTAAAACTATTTATTTTTGCCTTGTGCTCTGAGCCAGTGTAGTGTGGTGGTTAAGAGCAGTAGACTCGTAATCTGGTGAACCGGGTTCGCTTCCCCGCTCCTCCACATGCAGCTGCTGGGTGACCTTGGGCTAGTCCCACTTCTCTGAAGTCTCTCAGCCCCACTCACCTCACAGAGTGTTTGTTGTGGGGGAGGAAGGGAAAGGAGAATGTGAGCCGCTTTGAGACTCCTTAGGGTAGTGATAAAGCGGGATATCAAATCCAAACTCCTCCTCCTCCTCCTCTTCTTCTTCTTCTCGTGTCTCTTTTCTCTTTCCCTACCCAATGCTATCCAGGGAGCCGATCGAATCGAATACACAGCTCTAGAGTTCAGAGAGGCTGGAGGGTGCCAGACTAAGATGGATAACGGGACGCCAGCCGTCGTATACGCCGAACTACCCAAGAGCGACTTAACCAAGAGGGTTGGCTAGTTGCTGCCGCCACTGCGCATCTCAAGGATCGCGAGCAGAAACAATTCCTTCCAACGAACTTAGGAATTTCTGCAAACGTTTTGACAGCTCAGGATACCAGGAAAGCTTGATAGGACACCGTCTGAAGAAGTATGAGAGCAGGAAGTGTCAGCAGCCGTGAACTATTGGGGTCAGAGAAGGCGGACAAGTGGCAGCCGTTTGAAAGGAAATTTCCTGCCTTTGGATTACGAAATATTAGAAACCACACGCACTGCAATACATTTCCGTCTACTGTGAATTGCGGAGTGGCGAGTTCACAAGAGCCACTCCATGACGGAGGTCACAGCCACACTCCTTCTAAAATTACACAACCTTCTAAGATTACCGTATTTTTTGCTCTATAGGATTCACTTTTTCCCTCCTAAAAAGTAAGGGAAAATGTGTGTGCGTCTTATGGAGCGAATGCAGCAGCTATCCCAGAAGCCAGAACAGGAAGAGGGATTGCTGGTTTTGCTGCGCAGCAATCCCTCTTGCTGTCCTGGCTTCTGAGATTCAGAATGTTTGTTTTCTTGTTTTCCTCCTCCAAAAACTAGGTGCGTCTTGTGGTCTGGTGCGTCTTATAGAGCGGAAAATACGGTATACAATCATTTCATAATCACACAATAATAATACTTGGGGCTACATAGCAATGTCTCCATGGGTTGGCCATCAGGTAGATCTATTATTTTCTGTGCAAACACACACTGGATGCAAAGGAAAGAGGAGCGTGAGGACAAAATCAGTCGTGATAAGTAAATCTGTGTTTCTTCCTGCCAGGAAACCTGAGGTCTTTTTTGGGCACACACTTTGTAGATGCCTGGACATCTTTGATTTTCATTTTATAATACCATTTCCTCAATATTCCAGCTCGACACAAAATGGCAGAAGTCATGATAATGATGGTAATTCCCCCCTAGAAATATAGGTGCTCACCATGAAGTTGTTAACAGTAAGTGCCACACTTTTTAGGAACAACAAAAATAGAAGTGCCTGTATTGTGTACCCTTGAGGGGGAAAAGCACTAATAGTAATACAGTGGTACCTCAGGTTAAGAACTTAATTCATTCTGGAGATCCGTTCTTAACCTGAAACTGTTCTTAACCTGAGGTACCACTTTAGCTAATGGGGCCTCCTGCTGCTGCTGCGCCGCCACCGCACGATTTCTGTTCTCATCCTGAGGTAAAGTTCTTAACCTGAGGTACTATTTCTGGGTTAGCGGAGTCTGTAACCTGAAGCGTCTGTAGCCCAAAGTAGTACTGTACTGCTGCTCCAAGTCCAGCAAGGATTTGGAGTTTCTCGCATGAAAGGCTGCTTCTTCCTTTCCTTCCATGCCTTGCAGGGGCAATTTTTATTTTTTTTTAATGCAGCTGCTTTGTGTAAGAACTCTTCTGTGCGAAAGAGTTGTTGTTGTTGTTTTAAAAAAAACCACTGGGAATTTGCATCCATTCTTATCAGCTGATGGAAGGAAAATGGATGTAGGAGGTTTGGTGATAGTTAATTTCAACTCTAGTTTGACTTCCTGTAGTACTGGATGAACCAACAGGACAGCTAAGCGCATGCTCAGGACACCAGAAAAGCAGGAACACAAAATAATATATATTTGTGAAGAATTTGACATTTGATTTTTTTAGAAAAATAATTGAAGTAGTCATCATGGGGGGGGGGAATCAGAATTTTGTTAGATTTCCTTCAACTCCGCTCCATACCCTTGCCCTGGTCCCCCCCCTTCTCTTTTTATTTATTACTTATTCCTACCTAAACCAGGGTGCACCTTCGGATGCAAATTGAAATAATGTGAGGAAATCAGATCCTGTCTTGTGCTGCAATGTTTTATTTTAAAAGTTTATTTTACAGTTTAGCATGGTTTTCATTTTGAATGACGTGGTGGGCTGCACCACGACATTTTCAGTGCTTAGGGCCTTTAAATCTGGCCCTGACTCTGAGATTAAGGAAGAGGCGGATCTTGAGAAAGCATTTGATGGGAAAGGTGTGTGTGTATGTGTGAGAGAGAGACAGTGTGTGTGGTGCACACACACTCTACCAGTGGTGGTGAACCTTGGCACTCCAGATGCTTTGAAACTACAACTCCCATCATCCCTAGCTAACAGGACCAGTGGTCAGGGATGATGGGAGTTGTAGTTCCAAAACACCTGGAGTGCCAAAGTTCGCCACCACTGCACCATCATTCCCTCAAGGAATTCTGGGAGCTGTAGTTTACCCCTCACAGAGTTGCAGTTCCCAGCACCGCTTTAACAAGCTACAAGGCCCAGAATTCTTTGAGGGGCAAGAATGCGCTTTGAATATATTTTAAAATAGGGTTGCCATATTCCCCAAAGTGAAAATCCGAACAAAGTTGTTGTGCTTTTTCTCTCTCTCACAGCCAGAGAGAGAGAGGCAGGAAGCAGAAAAAGTGACAAAAAGCAGGCCTGTTTAAAGGAAGCAGGAGGCTGGGGTGGCGTTCAGGGACATGGAATCTGAGGAGCAAAAGTCATGTGTGGGAACCTCTTGTTCACTGTTTCCGGAGGCTTTGAGAGGAAGCAGCAAAAGGAACTGTGCAGAGGAGATGTAGAAGTTGTGGCTGCCAATGTTAGAAGTGTGGGCGTCGGAAGTGACGGCGTCAGACAATGACCGCATACACCGTGGTGCTGTCTTGAGTGCAAGCAGAGGTGGATTTCCTTCGGGGATATTCCAGTTGTGCATAATGAAGGCAAGCAGGTCCCTGCGAGGAGAAGCAAGAAAAGAGAAAGGGCGATTTAGGGAGTTGAACGTGCAGCGCCTGCCCCAAATTACCGTATTTTTCACTCTATAGGACGCACCAGACCACAAGACGCACCTAGTTTTCAGAGGAGGAAAAGAAGAAGAAAAATATTCTGAATCTCAGAAGCCAGAACAGCAAGAGGGATCGCTGCGCAGTGAAAGCAGCAATCCCTCTTGCTGTTCTGGCTTCTGGGATAGCTGTGCAGCCTGCATTCGCTCCATAAGACGCACACACATTTCCCCTTACTTTTTAGGAGGGAAAAAGTGAGTCTTATAGAGCAAAAAAATACAGTATATCCTAGCCCCGAGCTCTGCCAGGAATGCCCAGCCGGTATTTACCTCATCCAGACTCTTCCTCTGGTAAAGTTCCTCGTTCACTCTGGCTGGATTTATCGCAGAAGCGCAGCCTTGGGATCGCCGTGACAAGTGGGATGAAAGAAACATGAAATCATTTATCAGGGCAATCTCTCTGGGCCATGTGTGGAACTCCCTGCTGTGGGAATTTCATGAGGAAAGATGCCTTCTCCCAACATGATATTCTTGGAGTGCATCTGTGGAACCCCCTGCCACCAGATGTCAAAGAGATAAACAACTACCTGACATTTAGAAGACATCTGAAGGCAGCCCTCTTCAGGGAAGTTTTTAATGTGTGACATTTTAATGTACTTTTAATCTTTGTTGGAAGCCGCCCAGAGTGGCTGGGGAAACCAGATGGGCGGGGTACAAATAAATTATTATTATTATTATTATTATTATTATTATTATTATTATTATTATTTCTCTCCCACCAACCCCTGACCACTGACCAGTTTGGAAGATGAAGCTTTTTTAAATGGCAAAAGGAAGAACTTCTCCTTCATTCCTCACCTGTCCTCTCCTTCCTTCCTCTCTGCTTCCTAGAAAGAAAATTGCAGGAGTCTTAGGGCTACATACATTTTATGGTCGACAGTGGTACTCTGAACTAAACTCTCCATCTCTCCTGCACCTGTGTATAGGAATAGATCATTAAGTCTTCAGAAAGTGTGCTTTTCCCTATCCATGGCTACCAGTGATGGGGATTGAGAATGACACACTATGATGCCATCATAATACAAGTGCCATTTTATTATATCTGCTGGCTCTAAGGGGTTGTTTTGATCTTAACCCTGCCTGGTACTAACAGGAAGGCCCAGATGTGTGTCAATGTAGAGCAGGGATATGAAACTGTCTTGCATGAAAATGTCAGAGCACTGGTCTGTCTGCTGCAGGGATGAGGGAACCTATGGCCGAACTTCAACTCCCATCAGCCCCAGGGGCAGATCTACTCTGATACTCATGAAGCTTAAGCTTCAGGGCCCTTAATCCTGGAGTAGCTCCAAAAGCAAATTTAGTCTACATTGCTTAAACTTTAGACCTCCAAGGTCCACCACTGCTATCAGCTTCCTCTTCCTTAGTCTCAGCGTTGACCTTGGAGGATGGGGACTAAACTAGAATGAGCTGGCTCCTCCTGTCGTTGGCTTTGGCGCCACCTACTGTTGACCTCCCTGTCTCCCGCCCTACCAGGCTCCATAGACACAAGACAGCACTGCGTTCACCGCGGAAAACACCTTTGACTCACCTGGCTGCCATCTGCCTCTTCCACATCCACACGGCTGTTCCAAGAGCAGCCAGGACCAGAGCCAGACCAAGGAACAGCAAGGCCCAAATCCAGATTTCGGTGCCCTTCACTCCACCGGCTTCTGCAGGCGCAGCGTCCGTAGTCACGGCAGCGGCAGGACTTGGCGAGAGAAATGACACCAAATAGGGAGGCAGCTCAGCAGAAGCAGAACCTTCAGGGAAGGGTTGGAGGTTGTTTTGAAATGAGGAACAAACGGCGCTTTTCACCCTAACCTCAAAATTGCCTGTTGGCCTTCCTTGGAAGCAAGAAGGCCAGCCAGTGTAGGCAGTCATAGAATCATAGAATTGTGGAGTTGGAAGGGACCCTGAGGGTCATCTAGTCCAACCCCCCGCAATGCAAGAATCTCGATCCTGAGCTAGATGGTTCAATAGTATGACGTTGCATTGGCAGCTTCATATGCTCCTATGGACTTGGGACCTTCTGCAAGTGCTCTGGCAAATATCTTTGGTTGGTCCTCACTCCTGAACCTCTGTAACATAATTGATCCCTCATGGTGGAATACCAGCCCTGAGATGCTGAGAATAGCACTTTTGTCAAGGGATAGTAGGAGACAATCCTTCTCAGGGCTACACGCCTGGCTCTTGTGTGTCCAAAATTCTCATAACTGAAAGCATTTTCATTTAGGCAAGCCGACCCAGACAAAATGGCATGCCATTTTATTGTGTTTGTTTTAACACTGCTTATTGCTACACATATAACAAAAATGTAAGTATGTCATCACGCTGCAGTTCCCTTGATGGCCCACAGATGGCACTGAGAACTACAGCATGACCACAGACTTCTGAGAGCAGCTAGGTCACTCACAGTGGTGTTGTAGGGGGAGGAAAAGGGAGATGGATATTTCATATTGTCATACCCTCCAATACGTTGGGTCCCAAAACTGGGACCCGCATCTTCCTGGACATGCTCCCGCACATGACGCACGCAAGATAATGGAGCCCAAAAGACACGCTTTTTTGGGGGGGCGTGCTCTCTCACATGAGAGCATGGAGCTCTCCAAAAGCTGTGAAAGATCGTACCACCGCAAAAGTGCTTTTTTCTGGGGCGAGATTGCAGCATGAAATTGTGTGGGGTTGCAGCACCCAAAACAGCCACCGTGCTCTTACATGAAAATGGGATGACCTGCTTTTACCAGGACACTTGCTAGGTAGGTATTATTTTATACACAAAATGCTTAGAGGTTCCTGTTGATTAAGTGGCATATGAATCTTATCAAACCAAATGAAATAAATAGCATTGCACTAGGTGGGATTTCTTCCATCCCTTTGGCACTGAGATGGAAAAAGCTGTACCTGCTGCAGTCTTCCTTTTCTGTGCAAGTCTTCAGAGCCAGGATGGGGAACCTGTGGCCTTCCAGATGTTTTTGGACTCTAATTCCCAACAACCCCAACCAGCACCAGGGAGGATAGGAGTTGTAGTCAAAGAACATCTGGAGGACCACAGGTTTTCCATACTTGCTTTAACGCAGAGGCTGGATGTAAGCTGGACAACCGCACAGAGTATTTCAAATTCACCTGCGCCCTTCTCTTGGACGGGTGGCTCCAAGCAAATTTCAGAGACCCAAGTGTGATTGGCAAGAGAGTGGCATTCCCAGCGCCCCCAAGCCCTCCGCCGGGTGGACAGTAATTGGACAAGGGACCCATAATTGGTCTTCTCGAACCAGTGCCCGTTGCCCAGCGGTTTTGAGTGCAGCATCCAGCGAAAAGACTTTGCCTTGAAGTTGCCTGACGAGCGGCAGTGACGGCAGCTGAGCATCAAAGAGGAGGCGTTGAGCCACCAGAAGGAGACAAAGACGTTGTTGTGGCAGCCTGGAGAGAGAAGAGGAAAAGGGATGAATTAGCAGGCCGAGCTCCAGGTTCAAAGAGGTCCTCAGCAAAGTACCGTATTTTCCCGTGTATAAGACGCCCCCATGTATAAGTCAACCTCTTTTTTTTTTTAAACCCCAATAAATTAAGTTGTTTAGCTTTTGGGGGTGGGGTGGGGGAGGTCACTTTCTCCAATCGCTCACCTGCCTGCCCGCCACTGCCGATCGCACACCTCGCCACTGCCTCCAATTGTCTGCCCGCTCACTGCCACCAACAGCCCACCCGCCCACTTGCCGCAGTCACCAATCACCTGCCCGCCTCGCCACAGCCACCAATCACCTGCCCAATTGCCACAGCCAATCGCCAGCAGGCCTTGCTGCAGCCACCAATCACCTGCCCAGATGCTGCTGCCCATCTCCTGCTTGCTGCTGCCATTAATCGCACGTCCCCCCTCTGCATTCACTATCTGTGTATAAGACGACACCCAATTTTTGCCTATTTTTTTAAAAGCAAAAAGCATTGTCTTATACACAGAAAAATACGGTACTTTCTGGTCAGCCCCCCCCCCCCATTCGTAGACCTATGCTTCTGGTCTTCTTTGGTAGCAATGGAGGGCAGCTCTGAGCTGCCATCACACCTCACTCACAATGCCCCTATTGGAGCAATTCTACATGGGCCAAATCCACACTATAATTTTAAAGCGCTATACACTATACAGCGGTACCTTGGTTTAAGAACAGCTTAGTGTATGAACAACTTGGATTAAGAACGCTGCAAACCCGGAAGTAGGTGTTTTGTTTGTGAACTCTGCCTTGGAATAAGAACATGTTTCGCTTCCTGTCGAGTGTGTTCCATTTGTAAACTGAGTCCCCCACTGCTATGGGAAAGCGCGCCTTGAATGAATGAATGAATGAATTTTCTTATTACAGTCACAGACCAGTTCCGGCTCACTTACAATATCAGGAAAATCATAAAACACAATACATTGAATTGCAATTGGGTATAACAGAGACAGAGCCTTGGTTTAAGAACACTTTGGTTTAAGAACGGACTTCTGGAACGGATTAAGTCTGTAAACCAAGGTACAACTTTAACAGCCAAAGATTCATGGAAAGGATAGCTCATTAAGGGTGCTCATCACCAGAGTGCTCAATCCCTCTTCCCAAGGAACTCTGGGAATTGTAGCTCTGTGAGGGGAAGCAGGGGTCTCCCAAGAACTCTCAGCGCCCTTAACAAACCGCAGCTCCCAGAATCCTTTGGGGGGAAGCCACGACTCTTAATGTGGCGTCATAGCGCTGTAAATGAACAGAATTGTGGGGAGTTGAACATGACGACTCACAGCCCTGGCCATCCCAAGGCAAGGGTCAGTACTGGGAGTTGGAGGGGGTGCTGTCAAGAAGATGTTTGGCTTGCAGTTGCTGTGAGGAGAGGATAAAAGGCCATGATAAAAAGAGCAGAGCTCCCCAGAGATGGAAAGAAGATGAAGTCCCTACCAGAGAAGAATGGCAGATCAAGTTGATGGATTATGCCGAAATGGCTAAAATGACCGGAAAAATCAGAAATCAAAGAAAGACCAAAATTTTAATAGGGAACGGGGAAAATTTATAACTTACCTTAAAAACCATTGTAAGCCGTTAAAATCGTTAATAGGATTGGAATAACACTTGTAATTTAATGGTGAATTTTTGGATACAATGGAGAAGTAAAAGATTTGGATTATTATAAAAGATGCAGGAGGAAATGATTGACGGTAGGACCCACAAAGGGGAGGAGGGAAGACCAGAAGATACTCTGGAATCTTGTTTCTATGTTGTATGTTGGATATGTGACTCTCCAATTCTGTAATTCTGTCGCAAGCCAAGAACAAGGTCGCCTTGTCTTCTGTGTTACAGTGGCCAGTCTTCTATTCAGGGCCGGATTCAGGTCTGATGAGGCCCTGAGCTACTGAAGGCAATGGGGCCCTTTATATGTCCTGCTGTCCTTTGTCAACAACTAATTGTCGCTGTTTTTTGTGTTGAATATATGCTATATGGTAATTTATGGACCTAATAGGTATCTAAAGCCATTACACATAACAAATATGCATTTTATCAAAGTAATTGTTGAACTGAAATACAATTAAGAAGAAGTATATTAATAGTGACAGATCCTGAAGCTGAGGCTCCAATACTTTGGCCACCTCATGAGAAGAGAAGACTCCCTGGAAAAGACCCTGATGTTGGGAAAGATGGAGGGCACAAGGAGAAGGGGACAACAGAGGACGAGATGGTTGGACAGTGTTCTCGAAGCTACCAGCATGAGTCTGACCAAACTGCGGGAGGCAGTGGAAGACAGGAGTGCCTGGTGTGCTCTGGTCCAGGGGGTCACGAAGAGTCGGACACGACTAAATGTCTAAACAACAACAATAGAGAGAAGGCGAACTCTTGCTATTATTTGAGAAACATACCTGCGGTCACGTCCAGCATGGTTCGAGTCTCTGAGCCGTCGGGCGAACGGCAGACGTAGGTGCCTGAATCGCTCATGACCAGATTCCGGAGGACCAGGGATCCTGATGTCTGGTTTGCCAGCCGCTGGTTGAACCGAACAGGAGCCACCTCATTTCCAGTAAGGCTCCAGGTTATTTCCACGTAACCGCTTTGAACTTCAGCACACCTGGAACTCAGAGGGAGCCAAAACCAACGGGTCCAGGGGCTCACGGACTCGCAGGGAAGCGTGGCCTGCTCCCCAGAAGCGCGGACGATTCTCTCGGGGACGAAAGCTGAGGGAGAAGAGGAATGGAAGTGTTCACGTCTCCTCTGCCCAAGCCCTATCCCTCCTCACCCCACACTTGCAAGGCCCCCCACAAAGGAACGATGGAAGCTGCCTTATACTGAGTCAGACCATTGGTCCATCTGGCTTAGCAATGTCTACACTGGCTGGCAGCATCTCTCCGGGATTTCACACAGGATTATTTCCCAGCCCTACCTAGAGAGTCCAGGAAATGAACCTGGAAACTTCTGCATGCGAGGCAGGTGTCCTGCCATTGAGCTGTGACTCTGTGCCCTCTTGATTCATTCTTTGCTTTGGAGATTCTGTTGTCTGGTTTATTTAAGCATCGTATTCCTTTATTCCTTCCTTTATGATTTTCTATTTTATACATTTCAATATTTTTACAATCATTTTAACGTTTCAAAACTCGACTTCCTTCCCCCCTCTTTCTGCGGTTCCTTTATTTTATATTATATTTTATGCATATTCTAAATTTGCTTAACTTATTCATTTATCCATCTACTTTAAATATACAGTGGTACCTTGGGTTACAGATGCTTCAGGTTACAGATGCTTCAGGTTGCAGACTCCCCTAACCCAGAGATAGTACCTCAGGTTAAGAACTTTGCTTCAGGATGAGAACAGAAATTGCATGGTGGCGGCGTGGCGGCAGCGGGAGGCCCCATTAGCTAAAGTGGTGCTTCAGGGAAAGAACAGTTTCAGGTTAAGAACGGACCTCCAGAACAAATTAAGTTCGTAACCCGAGGTACCACTGTATACTCTTATAAAATTGCAGGTTATTACAATAACTCTGCCAATGTTCTCATCTGTTTATTTGTAAATATTCAATAAACCATTTCCATTCTTTTATTAAAAAGTTTTTCCGGTGAGTTTCGTCATTTCTGAATATTCCGTAAGTTTTTGTATCTGTTCTTCTTTCGCTGGGATGACTTCTTCTTTGAGATTTTGGGCAAGTAACATTCTTGCCGCTATAGTCGCATACATGAATAAATTTAGGTAGTTCTGTCCCTATAATTCCCAAAAGCCTCGCATTCCTGCCCTGCCCTTCCTCTCAGTCACTTTCTGACTTGGCAACAGCAGACCCCTCCATGCTAGGATTCTTCGAACGTTTTATTCACAATCATCAACACAGGGGCCACTTTCCATTATTTAACCACACAGATCCGTGTCCTGTTCTCTGTTTTCCCATGCCGAACCTTTCACTTACCAAAAAAAATTTGAAAAAAATCCTATAGATAAATAAAATAATTCTGCCAATTACACCCGTGTTTGAGAAGCAAGCATTCATTCAGGGCCCAACGACATCTTCTCCCAACCACCACCCGTCCTCCTCCATCTTGATCCTCACAGACAGATCTATTACCGTGCTCTTTGCTCAGGACGAATAATCCTATCAGTATCCTCAGCCAACAAAATTCCATATTGTTCAGTGTTCTGCCATTTATTTCATAACAATGATAATTCCTGAAGTGAGAGGGTGAACTGTGCAGAACAGGAAAGCATTATTCACTGAGAAATGTTATCTCTCCATGTGGTGGTGTCTTGGGCTTTTCTAAGAAAAGTCAAACGGAAAAGAGCTACATTTTAATCGCCTCCCGGCAGACACAGTATAACTGGATGTGGGACTTTGCGGGAGAGGAGAATGAGAGCCTGGAAGGTTGACTTACAGTCAGTTAGGATTATTTCTATTTATGCCCGTCTTCCTCGCGGGTGGCGCTGTGGGTTAAACCACAGAGCCTAGGACTTGCTGATCACAAGGTCGGTGGTTCGAATCCCCGCAGCGGGGTGAGCTCCCGTTGTTCGGTCCCTGCTCCTGCCCACCCAGCAGTTCGAAAGCACGTCAAAGTGCAAGTAGATAAATAGGTACCGCTCCGGCAGGAAGGTAAACGGCATTTCCGTGCACTGCTCTGGTTCGCCAGAAGCAGCTTAGTCATGCTGGCCACATGACCCGGAAGCTGTACGCTGGCTCCCTCGGCCAGTAAAGCAAGATAAGCGCCGCAACCCCAGAGTCGGCCACAACTGGACCTAATGGTCAGGGGTCCCTTTACCTTTTTCCTCATCTCTGAGGGCTTCTGGAAAACAACACTGGTGAAGGAATTGAGGAGATGCTACCAAATTCCGAAGTACAGTCATACCTCGGATTGAAGTGGCTTCGGGATGAATATTTTCGGGTTGCACTCCGCAGCGACCCGGAAGTAATGGAGCGTGTTACTTCTGGGTTTAGCTGCTTGCGCATGCACAGACGCTCAAACTGACATCACGCGAATGTGCGGAAGCGGCAAAACGTGACCTGTGCACACACAGACATGCAGTCGCGTGTTACGTTCGCTTCAGGATGCGAACGAGGCTCCGGAACGGATCCTGTTCGCATCCAAAGGTACCACTGTACAACATTTACCACGTTTTGAAATGATAGCATACCCTCCGACGTTTCTCTGAAGAGAGTAAGAGACGTCCCATTCCATAATTATAATTGTACTATTTATTTCCCACACATCTTAACTGGGTTGCCCCAGCCACTCTGGGCAGCTTCCAACATATATAAAAACATAATAAAACATTAAACAAACTTCCCTCTACAGGATTTAGAAGGCTCAGGGGTCAGATGACTCCACACCCTCCAACATTTCTGCAATGAAAATAGGGACATCCTAAGGAAAAGCAGGACATTCCAGGATGAAATCAGAAACCAGGATGGCTTCTATAAATCAGGGACATTCCTGGAAAAATAGGAACACTTGGAGGGTCTGTAATAGATGCTACCATCTGAAGATGGGCCCTCATAAAACCAGCAGTTTCCAGGCCTTTGACCATTTTGGTTGCCCTCCTCTGGATACATTCCAGTTTGTCAGTGTCCTTCTTGAACTGTGGTGCCCAGAACTGGACACAGTACTCCAGGTGAGGTCTGACCAGAGCAGAATACAGTGGCACTATTACTTCCCTTGATCTAGATGCTATACTCCTATTGATGCAGCCCAGAATTGTATTGGCTTTTTTAGCTGCCGCGTCACACTGTTAGCTCTGCACCTTTAACAAACTACAATTCCCAGGATGGTAAAGCCATGACTGATAAAAGTGGTATCATAGTGCCTTGAACGTATAGTACAAAGATGGCCAAGCAGCAAAATGAGGGCACCGTTAACAGGGAGCAAATGAACAGTTTCATTATATGACTTGTGGGAGATGCAACAAAATGGCGCAGTATGGAATGTTACTTTTCGGGATCCCTGCCCACCCCCTTCAAAAAAAAGTTGTTAGCATCCTGCGGCTACTAAACTGGCCTGTTTTTGCCTAACTCTGCTTTTCTGCAACAAGGGCACCTGCAAACTTGCAAGAGGAATGAGGGTCTAAAAAGAGAGACGTTAAAAGTGCCAATGAGGGTGCAATGAATGAAGCCAAACTTTTTTGTTGTTGCCATATTCTAGGTTTTACAAGAACATATAGGACCCAGGAGGGGGACTGCCATCGTGAACAGTGCAATCTCGTTTGTTTCAGCACTTAAGAGATGCTCCAAGCAGTTGCAGCTGTGCGCCCTGGACGTGGTACCTAAACTCTTATGAATTCTGCTGTGCAGTCTTTGGGAGCGTTTGCTGACTTTGCATAAACCCGGATTTTATGCCGAATCACCGTTTTGAGCAGTGCGGAACCACAGAGAGCTGTAACAAGGGCATGCTGCTTCTCTAGTCATGTTTGGTGGTACTGTTATATCCTTCGACCTCAACACTCTTACTTCTGTTGGCGTAGCCTAGAATTGTACTAGTCCCGTTTTTCATTTTCATTTTGCTGAGCTTTGGGATGTTGGAAGAGAAAACCCACTTTCTGGGAACTAAAGGAAGCACTGAAGCAGAATTGGTGCAGTGGGTGAGTTCATAGCCTGTGTCCATTCTCTCGGGCCGAAGCCTGGCCAGGGGTATCTCTGCCTCACTTGCTGCCAGAGCTGGCCCAAGACATTTTGGCGCCTGAGGCAAACCCAAATAATTATATTTGCACCCTGCCAGGGAACAATGGGTGAGTGAATATCTACATCAGGAACAAGGCGGGTGGGAATCAAATCAAGCTCACCTGATATTTGAACTGGGAATCAAAGGCCATCAAGGGGGAAAGGAGCCTAGGGCAGCCCCCACAAGTGGGCGGAGACCAGCAGGGCCTCCATACCAATGGTCCAGGCTGGCGCCCCAGTAAGGTCAAGTTGGTGCTGCTAAGACAGCAAAAACAACGCAGGAGGCAGCTCTTACGATTTACCAGTCTCTGCAGCCACAGCAGGCGCTGCGATTCCCCACTGGTTTGACTTCACCCCCAAAGGCGCAATCCCCTGTCTTTTAAGACAGACAGATGCCTACCATATCGCTGTGCACTGCCCTGGTATTTTGCAAGAGGGTGGTGCATATAAATACTATTTTAAACCAACAGAACCCATAATTCGTGGCTGGTAACGGTCAGCAACCTTTTCCTCCAGTTTACCTAAATGTGTCTTAAAAGCACTCAAGTTGGTGGCCCCCTGGTCAGACGAGCTTCCCCCATCTTCAACCTCAGCCCTGCTAAGCTGGTTTGAGGAGGAAGGTAAGAAAATAGCTACAAGATGCCCCACTTAATGCCAGTGTTAAAAAGAATCATCTCGTCCCCCCTTCTCCAGAAAACTGCCTTAGGTAGTTTGTTCTTCTGCTTCTTTGGCAATCACTTGTGAGTCCGTAAGTGACTGTGGAGGCCAATTCTGGATCCACACATCCTTCCACTGTGGAGACACAGGTTTCCGGGCAAGGAGTTGATCACGGTGTGGATTTGCCAAGCGTGCCTTCCTCTTAGCATGTTTCTCCCTTTCATCCCAAGTTTAAGTGTCTTCAAAGCCCACAGCAACTTTGGTAAAGGCTGTTCTCCAATTAGAGCGCTCACAGGCCAGTGTTTCCCAGTTGTCAGTGTTTATGCTACCTTTTTAATATTTGCCTTGAGAGAGTCTTTATTTTGTTGACTACCAGCATTACGCTTTCCATTTTTTAGTTTGGAATAGAGTACAGTGGTGCCTCGCAAGACGAAAAGAATCCATTCTGTGATTCTCTTCGTCTAGCGGTTTTTTTGTCTTGCGAAGCAAGCCCATTGAAGGATTAGCGCTATTAGCAGCTTATCTGCTGATCGGATCAGCTGATAAGCGGCTTAGCAGCTTAGAAAAAAGGGGGGAGGGGAAAAAACCAGCAGGAACTCGCAAGACATTGTCGTCTTGCGAAGCAAGCCCATATGAAATTCGTTTTGCGAAGCACCTCCAAAATGGAAAACTCTTTCGTCTAGCGAGTTTTCCGTCTTGCGAGGCATTCGTCTTGCAGGGCACCACTGTAGTTGCTTTGGAAGACGATCATCAGGCATCCACACAACATGACCAGTCCAACCAAGTTGATGTTGAAGAATCATTGCATCGACATTGGTGATCTTTGCTTCTTCCAGTACACCGGCATTAGTTTGCCTGTCTTCGCAAGTGATGTGAATTCTTTTTCGGAGACACCGTTAATGGAATCTTATGAGGAGAGAGGGCGTTCATAAGTGGTCCATGTTTCACAAGCATACAGTAAGGCTGGCAGACCCCCTACTCACCACCCACCTTTCCCAAGTTACATGGGCCAGGAAAAGACTCGGTAAGTATAAAAAAATACCATCTTTATTGTGAACCTCTACAACCGTGTGTGGTTTTATTTTCTGGGCGAAGGAGGGTGTTGGAGGATAAATATTACAGGGGAGAGGAAGCAGATTTACAGCTTGCAGTAGGAGGGTAGCAGAGATGGTCAGACTCACTCACACACACACACGCACACAAGAAAAGCAGATGCACTACGTTGGGTGGTCAGGTATCAATACAGGAGGCCTTGACTGGCGCAGGGGTGATGGAGGTGCTATAAGCTCCAAGGGAGGTGGAATTCCTGGGGAGGGAGCGGTGTGCAGTGCGTCGCTTCAAAATTTTGGAGGTGCTTCCGGGCCTGTGGAGTGAGAAGGAGAGAAAACAAGGTTAAAATGGATTTCCAATGACAGAATGAGGAAGGCAGTGGGGAAACAAAATGCAAACTCGAGCAACGGAAGCAGTAATCCTCTAGTTTTGCCGGAGAATCAGTAACCAATTGTGAGGACACGGGGAGAGGAATGGAAGGAGACAATCCGAGGGCAGAACGTACAGGAAAAGATGCTGAGCTTTGTGATAAAGTATCTCTGCTGCTCTCCACCCCCCCCCCCCAAACTGGTCAGAGGTGAAACTAGGGGTGGGCAAATTTCTCCTTTCTCCTGTCTTTAGTTCACAATGTTTCTGCACAGTTTGCAATTTTGTTTTATTCTTTTAAAAGTTTCCACAAAAATTTTCTTTCTCCTAATCAACAGGGTTTTGCATACAATTATGCCTAATAATTTTTTTTGCAAGCAATTCCCCCTGTGAACGCATTTTTGTATGTTATTTTCACTAATATGTGCATTTGTACACACTTTCCCTTTACACACACACACACACACACACACACACACACGGTTGAAGAATGAATTTCAAAGCACGGTAGTGTTTTGGTTTGTGTGTTGGGAAGCACAAATTATATTAACGTAAGAA